TCTGCTCACCCCACCCAGCCCGGCACTGGCAGCTCACGAGGGCCCACCAGTGATTTTCAAAGGAAACCTTGGGTTGAAGGTTTAAACTCCATTTGATCCAAACCCTTTTTTAGTGCATGACTCTGAACCAGGGCACTTTGGATATTTCTGCCAGTCTCCCTTCACAGGAGGTCACTGTGGCAAGCATGCTGGAAAAAATAGGATCCAAGAAGCAGGAAAATCTATTTGGGGCATGTGTGTGTCTGTGTGTGTTCTGAGAAAATGAAAACCACTGCCACTTGTAATATACGAGACTAAGTGAAGATTTCTTCAATTCCATTTCTGCCTCCTGTAAAGCTTGCTAAAACACAGCTTCCCTTGGCTTTTGCATTGCCTTTGATTCAGGCCAGACAATGGAGATTAATCAGTGCCCAGTACCCAGTATTTCTGAGATTTTACAGCTTCCTTTCACTTAGGAAGGTAAAAAGTAAACTCGTATGGGCTGTTATAACATTTCCTCTTTTAACTTGGGGAATCATACAGGCATTTCCCTGAAATCTTGGATGAGCAAATGATTACTTTTAATTTTATTCTGTCTGTCAGAGCTAACCCTAAGTAATCTCGTGCACATTAAAATCTGAACTAACTTCTTATTATAGCAACCAACTTTTGGGAGAACAGCAAGGAGAAGAGTAAAGCAACCAAAATGCAGGAGGGAAGGCCAGCGATGTCAACACATTGTGTTTCCCCTTGACACAGTTTCTTCCCATTCATAAGAGGTTACATACCTCAGACAGGATTTTAAAACAGTGAATCCCATTCGTGGCTATTAACTTCCACACTGAGACACACTTTGCTCCAATTTCCTTGTTTCTTTCCCCTCCTAACTTAACCCACTGCCACAACCTGTTACAATCAGAAAGATGACATTGTATTCCCACCACTCAATATCCACAGAGTTAGCACTGAAGTCAAAGGCACAGTTCATCCTCTTTCCATGACTTTAAAGCTCATAATCCTCTGTTACATCAGCCACAAAGACAGTGATTTGTTCAATCTGCCCAGCAGACTCTGGTCTTTTTCTATTGCTTTGCAGGGGTGGTGCTTCCACTACAGGCACATCCTCGAGGGCTGCTGGAATCTTGCTGCTAGGTCAGAACTGGCCCCTACAATGTAGGAACTAAAGAACTTATTTGGGCAGTGACACAGAGGAGTTGCCACAGCAGCAGTGGACACAATGCTTCCCAGTTCATTCATCCATCTCCAGCTGAAATGGAGCTTCCTGGGGTGAAATGAGGGCAGAACAAAGTAAAAGGGAAGTGGAATCTGTCCAACAATAAACCAGGTGTCAACATCCATTGCACAGAGCCTGACCAAGGACAACACGGTCACTCTCTGTTAGCTGTGCTGGGATGTTGGGAATTTTGAGCAGATGTTAATAGGATGAATACATAGCACTGGTACAGTCTCAGAATAATAATGCCTGCGAATGCCAAAAGCATATTGATCTCCTGAAGTGCATAGTCAGAGCACCTAATGGCTCTAGAGAGAGCAGGGAAACACTCAGAAGGGGAAGAGGGATAAAAAAAAAAGAGAAGAGGCTTCAGATTGGAGAGTTCTATCAGCTCAAAGAGCCTTGGGGCACACAGGGATGTTAAACTGCTGCTGCACAGACACATTCTGAGGGACCCAAGAACACAGGGGGGAAGTGTTAGTGCACAGGAATGGAAGAATGAATTTACAGAACTTGTATAATTATAACAGGCCTAAACCACTTCTTCTAGGTAGAATATTAGAACCAGGAAGAACCTTAAGAGGAAAATAAATCCTTACTGCACTGTCCTGACAGACCAGAACTGTGGGAAAAGCTAACACCAGTGATAGAGAGAATGCAGATACTGTTCAGAAGAAATTAAAAGGGAAATTCTTTCAACTTTAATGACCTCAGCTGTTATTAGTGATGCAGATCAGGGCTTTGTTCCAAAAGGAAATCTCGTAGCTAACCTGTAGTGTCTTTTTCAAGTGGGAGATATTGAAAGCTCCTTTTTGCACCAGGGCTGTCTAACTGGGAAATTCAATTCCTTCTCTTTGCTTTGGTATCTATTTATTTCAGCCCTACACACACTGTCAGAAGCAAAATGTTATCCTTCAGTGCACCTGAGGGCCAAGAGGTCCAGTGTCATATGCTCCATGGAACTGACCCAGTGTTTTCACCCTCTCACAGAGACGTGCAGCTCTTTGAGGGAGGACAGGACTGCAGGACAACAGGACTGCAAATTACCAGCTTGGTCAGAGGGGATTTTCTTTTTTATGAGCTATATGAGCTACAAACCAGACCAAAATACACTAACAGAGATATCCTTGTAAAGTTCACTCCCAGCAGTGCCACCGTAGGAGCATATCAGAATTCTAGCAGCTCTGGTCAATAGTATTATATATCCCCTGAACCACTAAGGACATTAAGCAAACACATTGAAGAGATGAGAAAAGATTCCAGTTATCCTGAGCTTCCCACTCTCTGACCACAAAACCACACTCTCACATCAAATGGGGAATGCAACTCAAGGGACATTTTAATCCTACACCCCTATTCTAATTAATAATCCTACTTTATCAATATTTGATGGAGCTGTTATTGTGTCTGCTCTGGCCACTTCACTTTTCAGAGAACGCTCTGAATTCCTGTGCTCGATGCAATGCAGGAGCAACGTGCTCCTTTCAGGGCAGTACAGGCTGGAAGCACAGCACGTCCTTTCCTGAGGCCGCTGCAGAAGCTGCTGCTGCAGGAGCAGCCCGCGGGCTGGACGGGCAGTGCAGCACAGCTGAGCACCAACGGGTGCACCAGGATCTGCTGACTCAGCCCCAACGACCGCTCCCCGCTGCGCCACCATCGGGTGGGAAAGAAAATCAACTCTCATCCTGAACACCGAGCCACAACAGACACAACGGTGAGCACAACAGAGCCCAGCCATTATGTGTGTTGGCACAGAGACCAACAGTTAATAAGGCACAGAACCAATTACAAGGAGAAAAACTCACCGTTTTTTGCAGACAAAGTGTTGAAGAGAAGGAAGCAGACCAGCCTGTGCTAAACATGCCAGACATGCCTGGCCCTCACCACAAACCTTCACTCATGGCACAGCCTCACTCATGAGTACCTGACCAGGGCTGCTGTTGGACTGCACTTCCACAGGGTAGGAGGTTACAGATGGACGTGCCATAGCAAAGTGTGAAACAGAAAAAGAACTGAGAGCCGCTCTGTTTGAGGCATTGTTCTGTAAAATCCTGTTTGTAGTGAGCTGTCAGAAAAACGCCTCCATTTCTAAGGCTGGGACAAGCACAGGTACTTCACCTCAGAGACAGAGGGTCTGACGTGTCCCAAGGAAGGGCTGGGGACCCACACCAGGGAGCAGGGCATGGGCAGCCCCTGGCACTGGGCAGGGGGGGTACAGCACACCCATGGCTTGGTGTTGGAAGCAGCCCTGGAACTACACTGCTTGCAGGAGTATTCATCCAAATTCTGAGCAGTAAAGCTCCTGAGAGCTGCCAAGTGACAGAATAATGCTTTGGGTTGTTTGTTTCCAGGAGGAGAAAAAAAAATGGGAAAGTACAGAAGAGAAACATCCCAAAAGTGGAAGGAACTAAATGTTATCAAGATAAAATGGAAAAGGCTTAATACAGTCTATCAAAGACTAGGCACCCGTGTCACAACACATGCTACCAAGGTTTAACTGAGCAGCGTGCATTTTGAAGGACGCTCTTTCATCTATAAAAGGTTTGGAGATGTTACAACTTAGTCTTTTTGCCAGGAGATACTTTATTAAAATTGCTGTAAACAGTAACTCATTCAAGCAAAGAAAAAATTGCTGTAAACAGTAACTTGTTCAAGCAAAGAAGAGGCTCTTCCTGCCATGAGCTTAAAAGGATGTAAGCCTTCAATTCTGTTTTTGAAGAATGTTTCAGATATTGATTTCTACCTCATACTTAACATAAGTTAGGTTTTCTTCACAGTTCTGGTGCTCAGAGGAGAAAGCAGCAGCATTTTCCTGAATCTTTAAACAGATCTTTTCTAACACCATGTTCTCTGGTTAGATCTCCCCAATACTTCTCCAGCAGCTGGAGCAAACCAAAGTATTTGGCAATGCTGAGTTACTCAAATAAATCTGAGCCTTCTCTCTGTTCATAGGTCTCCCTCAGGGCCCTGAGTGGGTTGCAATAGTACAGACAGTTGCTCTAAATATCTTGGATCCAAACACTCTACTTGATGGTGATTAAATATATAAAATGTTACAAATCCAGTGTTTGAAATGCAAAGGCCCAGGGCACCTCAGCAATGCTTTCCACACAGAGCAAGTACAGCACTGGAAGTACTGGAAATACCATCATGTGATCCAGTCACAAACTACTGATGTGAAGAGAGGGAATCCAGAACAGAAAGGAATGGGAGAAAGTTCAAGAGGTACAATCGATGTTTTCCCTTCTGTGTAAGCCAGTCTTTATTGCAGACCTGTATGAGGAAACAGATGTTGCACACACCCAGCTGCCACACAGACACTGTTCCTAGGAAGGATCACAGCCTAGCCCATTCAAGGCAGAGCTTTTTGCTGCTACTGTTAGATCTGTACCCTTCCAATGTAGGGTTTTTTACTTTGAAAAGGCTGTGCTTTACAAAGATGTTGCTAACAGAGGAGGCGAATCTATGACACTGCAAATTAATTATTCTCTGTTATATAGTTCTACTTTAATTTCTAACAGAACACTAATCCTGACAGTTAGCCCTGATTAGTATTTTGGAAGTGGTTCCCAGGAGCTGCTGACTCACTGGGCCGTGGTCCTCACTGTTTCAACACACTACAGAAACAGGCAAAGCAAAAGCACAGACCAGGCAAAACCCATCTATGGCTCATCAAGGAATTTAAATACATGAAAGTAAGTGTGGCTTTATAGTGCTTTAATTATGCATTGCATGTGAATTATGTATGGAGCCGAGGGCACGCAGGAATTCTGGTGGAAGGAAGCAGCACTGTGCTCTGGCACTTCCTCCCAGGATAAGCCAGGACTGTGCTCTGCACCAGGCTCTCTCCAGCCTAATGGAACCTGCCATTCCCAGACACTGCACACCCATTCTCACGGAAGGAGCTGTCTCATCCTGCTCAGCAATCCCTGCTGCCCCTCAGAGGAGCACATTTCCATTGCTGGAGAGCAATTACTTCCCCTAGATCCTGCTGTGCTCTTATTTAGCCCAAGTACTCTTCAAGAATAATGTAATCCATAGGTACTTTAAACCTATAAAACCTAACTTACTTAATGTCAAGTGTTTAAAAACAGATCATGGCTCCCATATCAGTCAGTGCCTTGTAACAATGTATGGCATTTGTCTAATCTGCAGTTTTACCATTCTGTGGACTGTAATAACTGCTTTTGCTACTCTAAGTCAATATTTACACCTTCACCATTTTTGTGAGGCACAGACATTAATCGTCTCTTGCAATGCCATATAACCTGGCTGTAAGGTCCCTTGGAAACAAAAGTCAGCTTCAATCATTATATCATTAGTCAACACTCACCATTATCCCAAGTTCTGCTACTGCTACTTATAGTGGCTCTACAATAAATGCACACACACACAAATCATGCATGAGTACAAAAACTCTCTCCTCTGAGACAGTTTTACAGGCTGGTCTGTCCTTATGCATTTCCATAGCCAGACATCAACAAAGAACATTCCCTCCTCCTCGGACTGTGCCTCACACGGGGTGAAACACTAAGCCCTGCCCCCTGAAGCAAGTTTCGTGCAGAAAACAGACACTGTCAGCTTCAGATACAGCCCCGCACACAGGCTGACATTTGGTTTGTGCAGGGAGAACTTCCGAAACCGCAGGTGTGATTTTGCGGAAGGAATATTCGTGCTTTTGCCTTTCCCTGAGGCGCAGTGACCTTCCCTGGAGCGGGAGCAGCTCTGCAGCCAGCCCGGGCCGGCACTGAGCTGCAGCTGCCACGCGGGGGCAGAGGCTGGGCAGCGTCACCACAGCGCTGCTTCCCAGGAATGCACCAGGAATGCTCATCCTCTGCTCAAGGTGACTCTCAGGATGATTCCTTCCCTCCTCATTAGTTACTATACATATTTATAGACAAATTAAAGACTCAAACAAACCATTATTCAATTAATGGCTTCGAGTCCTAGTGGAACAAACAGCATCAAATCAGTTCATCAGCTCAGGGGCTTATGACAATTTAATAAAATTTAATTTTTTCTGCTCCTCTCTGCAGTATCATGTCTCACACAAGAGTTAAAACACCAAACACTGGCAGAGTTCTTTGTAACAGAAGGAGCATAAGGAGTTCTGAACCATCAACTACTTGCTTCAACTCACAATGAAGAGGAAATTGATCTGATGCAATAATCAAGTTAGGCTTGCTTCTACACCCCTCTCCCAAAAACAGGGTGTGTAATCTTTCAATATTCAACTGATAATTCAATTACCAGCTTACTGAGAGCAACCACAAAGACAGTGTATGCTACTGACTGTGACTGGGATCACGTGAATGGACAGTATTCCCCACAAGGTGCCTCTGAACGCCTGCTTTGTGAGACCCTGCCATGCTCCCACTTCACAGGACGCTGCACATTTTACCCTTTAAAGATGCTACAGCACCTATGACTCTGTATAGCACATTCTATGTATTTTTACATCACACCAGGTCAACCAAGCCCCTTTCCCCCTCTCTGCCACACCATTCATGAATCCCCTAATAATGCAGCACAGCTTCATTCTGCCCTCAGTGTTCCAGCCTTGCCCTCACAGTTTGGCCCATTTCCTTTATTCAAACCCCCTACAGCCTTCTGCTTTTCAAGAAGCAGTGCTAATGCATGTTTTTATTTGCAGCTCTCCCTGGTTTGCTGCCTGCAGCATGGCACCCAGCTTAGGTGCCATGCAGTGGCCTGGGCAGGGCTGTGGGAGCTGTCCCTGCCAGCACAGGGCCCTGAGAGCCCCAGGAAGGCCCTGCTGTGACAATGACAGGACTGGCGCGGTGCTCAGTGAGTGACACCGCTCTGCCACACTGCCGGCCTGGGGCTGCTGCTTGTCCAGGCTTTTGAACTCCAAATTTCCATCACCTTTCCAATGGTAAAGCACCTGAACTAATCAAGAGGCAGCTCTGAGAAAGCAGCATAAATGACTGCAAGCACTTTCGCAAAATGAAAACAAAACCCAAACACACAAATGCCTTTCAAGGCCAGCATGACAAAACCTTCTGCAAAGAAAAAAAGTGGAGAAGATCATACTACACTTGCTTAGGAATCATTTTGCCTTTACAGGATCTGAACAGGAATATTTGTGCTGTGTTCTAATAGTAATGGAAGTGGAATTACAAAGTGAGAAAAGAGCAATTTGCAGGATAGGGCTCACTCACAAATTGCAGGAACAGGTCACAATGGATAATCTTCTGCTCTCAGTCCTTTCCAAGTTTCAGACTTCTGCAGACACAAAATAGAAGATCCAATAAATTGTTTATGAATTTAAAAAAATTATAATCCCATCCTAGGTACTTCTACTCTTCCCCTTTAAATTTTCCACAGAACGCTGTTTTTGTAGCTGCCAGCTCTGTGACCTTGCTGGAAGTGGCCAACCCAGAGATCAATTAGTGAGCACAGAGGAGAGGAGCAGCTCTGCCTGCGTGGTGCTGTCCCTTGGGAGGAGGGCAGATCGTTATCCAGCGGGAGTGCTAACACAGCTTGGGACTCACTGCAAGATGCACAATGCAGCAAAACCCAAAGGAAATGGCAGAATCTCTTTTTTCCTTTGGCTTTCACGTTTTACATTTCCCTATCATTTAGATATACTTTAATTCTGCACATAACAAAACCTTGTTACACTAAACAATATCTACAACAAACAAACACACCATGCTGGCTTCAAACACAAATTATGAAGCAAGCTCTCTAAACCCTCAGGAAATCCCCACTATCTCCCATTCCACAGCCAGGATGACCTAAAGCACAGCAGAATTGAGAGATTTTAATGCTACACTCTACAAACCACAGTGACAGAGGAGGCTAAAGGCCCCAGCACCTGAGCTTCCAGGTTTCTAGCAAAGGGCCCCAGCTGCTGAATGCCTTCAGAACACAACTGGGGGGGCTTTCCACTAAGGACACAACTGCTGCCTGACATACAGACACACAGCTGTGCTCTCAGGACTGCAGGAACCCCGGCTCTTTAGCATTTAAATGAGTACATAAATATTTCACATAAAACTTAGCCTAAAATAAGCTGGTTTACAGCATTACTACAGTCTGTCTGCTTGCCTTAATTTGCAGGCAACTATAATGCTGCTTGTGAGACACACTATTCCTTAAGTCCTCCCACAAAAAACCCTGAGAGATCAATAGTTCTTAAATAAGTAATTAGAACAGCTGAAATAATTTAGGTCATCAAGGAACAAGCAGGATAAATAAAAGGTTATAGCGCTGTGGACACTTGCATGCAATAGAATTTTACGTTTCTTTGAGTTAACTGATAGAAAGGCTGAACACCAGGGCATGAGGCAGAACCACTGCACAGCATCTGTAACAGGAAGGCCAAACAGGATAGCACTACATGCACATATCAAAATTATTTGGCAGGTTAATTAAAAAAAAAGAACAACCAGGATACAAGATACACCAACAGTGCTCAACTTCCCACTCTGAACGCAAGCAAGCTTAGATCATCATGGCAAAGTACATGTAAAATACTCTCCCCAAAATACAGGTACATTTCTGTTCAAATGCCTAATCTGACCATTTTGGACTTGCACTGGAGCAAGAAAACCCTGGGAGATGCTTTACTGTAAATGCTCATCACAAGGATAACTATTTGTCCAAACATTTGGGCTGCCCACCCTCTTTACAGCCTGGGCTCAATTCTCCCTTTGAGAGAAATGTGATACCCTTCAAAACTGATAGTCAGCATTGCAGTCTCCATACCTCCCACAGCACAGGCACCCAAATCCTTCTCAGTGTTTCAGCAGACACAGCTCATTTGCTAGTCACAGCTCCCTGACATCTCCAGCTACTGAATATCCACATTTAGACAACATTTGGCATATCAAAGTTGATGAAATTTTGAGGTACATGCCTAAAGTCTGGAATATGACTTGTATCTGTTGCAGATCTGTTTTCCATTTATCACATTATGTGACAAAACCAGTCAGCACAGCAGCAGCTTCATGGGTACATGGAGTGAAGAGTCTCAAATACGGAAAGGTTACTTCTGTTTGTGCAGCATGAGGGGACAGCCCATCATCAGAGAGGAGACAAAGCAGCAGGCAAAGAGTCCTTGGTGCTGCTCAACACCCATTGGTCACCTGCAGGCTCCAGCATGCTGGACCTGCTCTGTTTGCTCTGGAGCCTCAGGCACTTGCAGATAACCAGCACGGCACTGCCAGTGTGCCCTGAGCCATGGCCCGGGCTGGCTTTGGGTACCAGTGCCCTCAGGAAACACCCACAGCAGCTTCAGCAAGGTCAGTGCCTTACCCCAAGGGCACAGCCTGCGAGCAGTTTCCAAATGCCATTGAATTCTGGCTTTAGTATCACAACATTTTTGATGAAGTTATAACACTACTTCATTAGAACCAAAATTCTCATTATAGCAAGATTTTTAGGCCATATTTCTGACCACAGTTCAAAGTGAGACAATTACAATTATTCCTAAGAGTACCTCAATCTGCTGATGAAAAATTAATCTTGGTAAAGCTTTTTTTTTCTTTAAATTATTATGACTGTGCTGCCAGCTGCACTCAAACAAACTCTGATTCAAGTTCTAGGCTTCAGGGTCATTGATAGACATTCAGCTACTGCTTCCACCAAAAAAAAAAAAAACTGATTACCAAGACAGAAACAGATACAGGAAGGGAAAAACATGAAACTAAAAAATCAAAGAGGGAAGAAACCAAACCCAGTGAAAACAAAAAATTTTTGTACCAGAAACAGATTGAAAACAGAAAGGAAATTAGCATTTAGGAATGAAAAAGCCTATTCACTGTTGATGTTGAATACAACACCCGGGGAGACAGAAGCTGGGTTTATTTTTGATAGCAGCATAAACACTAAAGATAAGCCAACAGCATTTACAAAATATGGGTGCAGTACAAAGGCTCATGTGATGAGAGCTGTTTTGCTTTTAATCTTGACCTAGGAAACCTCTTGTATGACAGAGCCTCTTTTCAGTGGAGTCAGTCCTGCCTAGCTGCTCTGACTATTAGTGATAAAAAGGCCACCCAAGTTGTTTCTGCTTTGGAATGATGGCAGGTTTTCAATCTTAAACTTCAAAGGAAAAGGAAAAAACCCACCCTAATATATCTGTCTAAGGACCTGCACCAAACTCCTGTCATCCATTATCTGGTCCAATCACACTCTTCCCTAAAACAACAATCCTTGCAACTGTACCTCTGCTTTTCTAGAAAGGATGTACATATACCCCCAAATATGTATCTACTTGCCACTGATATAAATGAAAATACTTATCTCATATTGATTTGAGACAAACACATATCATGTCCTACCCACAAACAGAAAAGCCAGCTGATTCCAGATTGGTTCAGCATGTCTACAAGCCCAGTAGCACAGAAGTGCAAACCACATCAACCACAGTCATTGTGAGGGCTCAGTGATCACAGACTCACATCTCAAATGTGTATTACAAAGTATCAAGACTCAAAACTGTGAAGCTCTGTGAAGTTCAGTCCTGCTTTGGATGTCTGTTCACATGGTCCAGGCATGTCTAGAGAGCAGAGTTACAGACCAGCGCTCAGTCTCTGCAACTTCACACCCTTAAATTGCAGTGTGCAACTTGCTGCATTCAATACTGCCAACCCCACAGGCTCAGTGCCCACAGGGCCCTAGAACCTTCTCTCTGCCCCTTGTCCCTCACAGCCCACGCAGCAGAGATGCCCTGCAGCCAGCTGCAGCCTCCATTCCCACGGGCACAACAGGCACAGGCACCTTTATTCACACCAAAATGCTGAAGGGCAGAGGAAGTACCAACACCCCATGTTGGTATGTCATGTTACACCATGTTACAGATCGGGAGAATTCACATGACCATTCGGGACATCACCTTAATTAGAAACTGTAATTAAATGCCCACTGAAGGTTGGTAGTATCACTTGCTTCCAGGCCTTCTTATTTCATGAGGAATGCTCTGTTGGGTCAGATCAATTCTCCCGTGGAGCCTGGTACTGTCCCTCAAAGCTCTGTTTACTGCTATGAGTTTTGTCATGGCCACCAGAAGAAAAGTTTTACACATTCAGCAGTTGCCAGATGGGGTGAGAACACAGCCAGAGCACGGAGGGCAGCACAGTCTCCACAACAACTGAGCTGTCAGGAGCGCCAAGCTGCGCTGCCCTCTGTCCTAAACAGCACCTACAAAACAAGATTAAAGCACTCGTGTTTACAAGTGCTCCAGGAAGCTGCTGGCCTGCAGGTGAGCACAGCCACCGCCCTGGGCTGGCTCTGGCCAAAGCAGCTGAGAGTGGGATGGTGTGACCGGGCCCCAGCCCAGGGGCTGCCAGGGCAGCGCTGCCTCGCTCACCAGCTGGCTTAAGGAATGCCCTGTACCACAACTCCACAAAGCTGAGACACCCAAACAAGAAAGTGAAATCAGAAATTAACAACCAGAGCAGCACATATTGAGGCACGCACTCTTTTTTTTAACCTAGACCTTTGTTGGTTTTAATAATTGATATAAAGTAACAGATGACTCACTAATTGCACTTCTAAATTGTAACCCAACCTGGAATCAATCACACATGGCATAACTTCTGTTCTTATTTGAGCCTAAATCCACCACAGTGCCTTCAGTAGCCGCTCTAATAATTGCATTAGTCATAACCTGAAAGTATTTGCCACTTCCTCAGTTCCAGTTTTGCTTGCTCTTCAAGCTGATCCTCATCCCTATTGCTTAAAAGGTCTCTAAAATGTTACCCTGCAGAGCCTGCTCTGGGACTTGAGGAGCCCTGTGCCACATTTTGTGTGTGATTCCTCCTCTCTCGGTGTCTGATTTTCCTCCAGTACCATTTTATCTGCTTTGCTCTAGCTCAAAGTCAGAGAATTCAGGGTTGCAACAGATAGTAGCAAGTGCTACTTGTAAAACTTGGTGAAGAGTTAGGTACACAAATGACTGCCAGCATAAATCGTATCATCTTTTGTTTGCAGGACAAATTCTCAGGTTTTAAGTATCTGCTACACTGGATACCTACCTGCTTGATCCTCTCCCTTCCATGCCTGAGATACACTTTAAAATAAAAATTAATATAGATCTTGTAAGGATTTTTCAAAATAAAACTCTTTGCTACATCAATCTTATGAGACTAATTTCCCATGTAAAGACAGCTTTTTCTATGAAGATTTTTAAAAGACATGCACACAAAGTTATTTTTTGCAATTCAAATTCTGTCCTCAGCTATCTTTGCACAGACCCCATTAACTTTAGTGTATGTCCAAAGGCAGAATTTGAAACCCATAAAGAACTGGGTCAGTGGACAATGGTAGGTCTCAAACAGAGATTTCTGAGTTATAACAAGAAAGAAATCCCTCTTCCCTCGGGCACTACAGGAGCATTCCCATTTGTCTGTAAACAATACCAAACACTTGGAATCTGACAGGCTGCATTTCATCCCTGCTCACTTAGGGCTTTCCCTGTCCTGCAGCTGATGGCCATTCAGTGCCCAGTGCAGCACCTGGGGCAGAAGTGCAGCCCCAGAGCCCATCCCTGCCTCTCCCCAACCTCCACATGGCACCAGCCAGCAGTGCCCTGCAGAGCCCCTCGCTTGGCTGAGGGTGCAGTGACACTCAAGCACACGTCACAACATCTTCATTATTTCTATGGAAAAATCTGTAGGAAACACATTATTTCCATTCTAGTTACATATTTTCAAAAATAATTCTTTCTATGTCAGTATTTTGTCCCAAGAAAGAGCACAATTATTGTTAATTACTTCAACTTTCACCAAGGTGTTGTAATCTTTGCTGCATCGTTGTTCTC